TAACAAATTTGTTAGTCTCTAAAGGTGCCACAAGTACTCCTGTTCTATATTGTTAACTAATCCAGTAAGGAACTGCCTTGATTTAGCTTATGATGACTCCTGATGAACCAGCTAAATGGATACAGGACACTCTTAAACTGAAACAAGAGGTGCCACCACAAGGGGGCCACTCCAATGTAAAAGCTGTTCCTAAATGGAATTTGGGGGGGGGGGGGGGGAGGGGAAGTGGGTGCAACTCTTGCATTGACAAGGCCATTGGTATAGGATTGCAACTTGCTAAATGGTGACACTTAAAACAAACTAGCTAACACTGTCCTTCAGTTCTTGATAATGATCTGCGAATGGGTGATATGGAAAACCCTGTCCACCTAATAACGTCTTTGGACCTGTAGATGTAGTACACCATGATTAAAATACCTGACTTGCAAGCTGGTGGTAAGTACCTCTTTTTAAAGCAGAACATTAGGCTGGTTACCCATTGGCTTTCTTGTGCAATGTTCTTGGAGAAGATTGAATAATCACGGCCTTTAGGACTGTGCAGAGAGGTGGCATTTTTTTCCTCAGTGCTTCTTTATCTTGAGTCATTGTGGCTCCCAGCTGGCCTGGTGTATGAGAACCGCATCCTTTAGCTCACAAACAATTCCCAAGCATGAAAGTGGTGCTGGGGTGTGAGGGTAAACTGCACTAGGCTTCTATTTCACAAACACCTACTGACAAATCACATTATTTCTGTATGTATTACCTGTTTGAAAAATGCCCCTCTTCTACTCCCCTTCTCCCCCCGCTCCCCCCCCCAAAAAAAACGAAAAACCACAGAACAAAGTGCAGAATAAAAGATGACTAGAATTCTCTCTGGGCTTCCAGACCCACTATGTAATTTTCCTGTTCAACTTGTCAACGCTCATTTTAAGAGCCTTATTCTTGGTTGCCAGAGACATGCTGCTTTAGCAATAACAGTTGTGGTTTTCCTTCTGTTGGTAGCTAGTTACGTGTTTGATGCTCCAAATGGAAAAGCAGTAGATACATAACCTGCATCTCTCCTTACTCCATCTCAACTCATTTAAAATAGGTTCTGCTTTCATCTTAACTTCATCAGGCTTATTCTGAACTCTAGCTTTGTTGGATATGTCCAAGTCAGCAATTTGTCTCAAATGGGGCATTCCCCCACCCCCATCATGCCTCCAAAGAGGGGTATCTCCAAATTATAAATCCGAGAGTTGCTTGTCGACTGTCAATGATACTCCAGATGAGACCTAAAATAGCTTTTGCTTTTTTAATTTTGCAGGCAGTAGATATCTTGGCTTCTTCCTAGTAGGCTAGCTCTGAAAGAAGTCTTCTCCCTCTACTGCCAGTCACTCCCCCTCCTTGATCATCCGGTGGGGCCTCTTATGAGT